ATTTTGACACTGGTTATATTTGGTGCAAACTAATCAATGTTATTGAACAGCATAGGTTATCCAGCAATTCCTAGAATGTAAATAAGCATGCAGAAATGGCCAATAATGTGTTTTCATTTTGAATGCATTCACATCGGGAGGCTTAGACTTAATTTCTATTGTCACTCACTGTTTGGCTAACTTTAACTGGTTAACTGGTTTGATTAACTGCTTAACTTTAGATCATATCTATATGACATAATGAGAACTTAAGGGTTTACTCTTTCCTCCATCAGCTCCCGTATCCTCCCCAGTCGTCACCCCCAACATCTACAAACGCCTCATCATCCCACACGGAATGACCGCCCCTTCCTCCTCCCACCCCAACACTTCAGCCGACATGCCTTCCCCGTCCACGGGTGCCTTGGTGGGGGGTATTCCCCCACTCAGCCAGGCTGGTTTGGCCCTTGAGAGTCCCCAGGAGGGGCAACTACCAGCAGCAGGGAACCACCAAGGTAAAAGCATCCAAGAGTAGTAGTGAGGTGTGCTGCTAAGTGAGTGGCGACTGTGCCAGTAGCTGTTTTTGTTGGTGTATAAGTGGCATGATTTCCCAGTTCTGCCTCAGAAACAGCTCCTGCAGAGGAAAATAATAAATGCATTTATTATTTAACAGAAAATTGGAAAACAAAAGGCAGATATTTCAGCATTTCTACACTTCTACATATTTCTACTTAACTATGATGGGCTGTGTAAATATTTAAGTAAAATACTTTTTGTTGTAAAGCCAGAAAGCCAGAAAGAGGCAAAGGAAAATCATTTATTAAGGGAATCATTTAACAAATCTTGTGCTTTCCAAGCAAATCCAAAATGCCAGGTTTCTTTAGAATGATCATTTTTAGATGATGTGGGTCCCGTTGCACCCACAGTGTCGCCTAATTCTTAGCTTATAAGCATCTTGAGATGACAGATGTTATGACTGAATACAAATAAAGCTGAACTGAATCCTTAGGTGCCCCTCCTGCCCAGACGCCTAACGGACCTCCAGCCTCGGCCCTCATCCAGAGCACTAGCTTCCTGGACTCAGTTCCTGTGACGCTGACCTTAGAGCCACGTGACTTGTTGGGCGTGGAGGAGAGCGCCGGCGGACCTCCTGCACTCAGAGAGGGCGGACTAGGAGCCGTTCCTAAGGATGGAAGAGGAGGAGGAGTAAAGTCAGTGGATGTGGAGCTGAGGAGGCGACAAGGAGAAGGCTTTGGATTTGTTATCGCCTCTCAGGAAGTGAGTGGAGGTGAGTGGCAAAGAGTCTTCCGTATGTCCAGCTCCTGTCGGCGTCACCGCCTGTTATATGATTGAGTTTTGTATTTTAGGTCATCTTTTGAGGTTACATTTAGGTCCTGGAGTTTTCAGTTTGTTTTTACCTCCCCTGTGCTCCCTGTTTCCTCGTATCCAGGCTTAGTCTTTGTGTTAGGTCTTTTTCTGTGTCATTACTTTGTACTGTATTTTGGTGCTGTCTCTTGTGCCATGTATTTAGCTTTATTTCCCATTTGTCTCATTAGTTTGATTTTGTTCACCTGTGCCTTGTTTCCCCAGCGGTGTTCTCTCTCCCTAATGACATCATGCCTCTATTTAAACCCTCAGTCTGCTTGTTTTGCTTGTTAACCTCCCCTTTGGGCCCCTGGTCTGTGTTTAGTATCGTAGATTATTTTCCTCACTTTATCCGTCCTAGTTTGACATTCCTGTGTGTGACGCACAAAGAAGTACAACAGAAACAGGATTCAAGAAGAATATACCTGAAACGGACAATAGAAAAACAACTGCTTCAAATTATCATTAAGCAAATGTTGTTTAGATGGTCTAGTGGTTAAATTGTGGCGATATTATTCTTCCAGCAAAAAGAAAATTTGACTGTTCATCCAAAACAAGAAGAGAAAGCAAACAAGTTATTTCCATTGGTCACTAAATGGCGACAAATCAAACTGTTAGAAAAAGCAGGCAGTCAATTAGTGGAGAGAGCTATTGGACTTGAAAGGGACTTTCATTTGGTAATATATGTGATGGATAAGTAAGAAACACAACCTCTCTACTTAGCCCGAGGGGAAGTGGGAAATTTAAAAGTAAAGGAATTCAGTGGGCTGGATCACAGAGTTGGAAATGTTACCCACTGACACTTGAAATGGGTTAAAAATAAAACCTATTGAAATCCTTCAATCTCTGAAGATATAGGATGAAATAAATAAATAAATAAATGATGGAAACTTGAAAATTGTTTTCCAAGCCTGCTGTTCACCAGCGATCCAGAGTTCAAGTTCATATTCAAATAAACAAACAGCTGATTTTGGAGGGAAGGGCAAGACTTTTTATACTGGTACATTTTTGCTTTCTGTTTGAACAAGCTTTGGTGCATGCAGATAAAATTTATCTGTATTTGTTAAAAAGGACCAGAGGAGAAACAGGAAGTTTTGAACCGGATATCCATTATGTTCCTTCTGTACATTCTGGCTACAATAGAAGCTGAGAAAAATGGCTTCGTCAGCCTCAGGCCAGAGTTACCTTACTGATATTTATACTGCTGTGATTTTAAGGCACTCAGCTGCAATAAAATAAAGGTTACTTGTAATAATTACAAAACAAGAGCACTTAGCTTATAAGTAACTATAACCCTGGGCACTAGATTTGCATATCACACAGTTTAGTTTGGGTTAATAAGCAACTCGTTTCACATGTAAACAAGCCGTGGGTGTACAGGGAGGAGTTAAAGCTTTCAGATAAAAGCAGCACAGTAATACATAAATGCAGTCCAAGATTCCCTCCTCCTGAAGCTGACACAAAAAGCAGCAGAAGCTGGACACAGTACAGTAGCTGTGCAAAAGCACTGAGGGATTTCCCACAGCTGGGTTTGTGGCGACTCTCTGGTTGATTTCAGCTGCACCTGAGCTTCTCTGGTCGGCATTCAACTGGAAGGAACAGAACTGAGCGACAATGATACACAGCACTCCACTGCACCTCCTCCTTTGGAAATATAACAATCATCTCCACTGTTAGCATTCCTTCCCCTCCACATGAGTAATTTCCCTCCCACCGCTATCTGCTCTGCATAAGCCCCGCCCCCTCTGACTGTCCCTCTATCACTCACTGCAGCTCAGCTCACTCAGTCCAGCTCCTGCTTTTAGAGCCGCAACCTGCTTCACGCAGACAGCACAGAGAGACAGAAGGACAAACAGTGAGGACAGAGAAACAAGGACAGAGCATTGTTGAGGTCTCGGCTCGGTTCAGGTCTGAATTATCCATCATGTTGGAGCGACTGCAGTCAGCTCTGAAAACTGTCAAGGACTCCAAATGTAAGTTTAGTTTGGATTTTTAAGCTTTCTTCTAAATTCAAGGCTGACTTGGTTTCTGGGAGGTCCGTCCATCATCGTGTCTGTGCCTGAGCCGTATTGATTTAGAGTCCTGCTGTGTGTGGGTCAAAGGTACTCCTGAATTTGTGCGTGCACTGCTGTGGAACAAGTTTTCACAGCCTGCTCCTCTTGTGCTTTGTTCCCTAGTAAAGTTTTTTTTAAGAGGGTTTTTTGTCATCTGACTACAGGCTCTAACCAGATCGCCTGTGAACCATTTATTGTTGGGGTGAGGTTGCATAAGAAGAATCATTTCAGAAACTAGAAGTTGTTGCCTTTCAACACTGTTATCTTAAATGAGTTTTGTCCTGGGTTTGCATAATAATGGAAAAACCTACATAAAGCAGTACATTTGAACCCTAACCAACACTAGCTTATTAAGAAAATAAATGAATCTGCAACTTAAATGTTTTCTTTCTCATCTAAAGAGCCACATGCTGCTGCTTTATGTTTGATGATTCTCATCTAATGTGAGATTCTTCAAAGCTTCCAGTTGATACTAAAAAGTAATATCAGATTAGATACTGAGGAGTCCACTGATTCATGTTTGTCCACCACACAAAAGGGAAAGTGAAGTTTTGTGAAAATACAGTTGCAGTGGCAGCAATAACTGTTTCTGTTTCTGGGTGTCAGTGGCATCAGAGTCCACAGTGTACGGGACAAAATAACAGGCACTTACTGCAGCATCTGGAAGAAACACTTGAATGTAGTCAGAGCTGGTAACATGTTTCTCTCCAGCTACTATGAATCTGTTTCCTCCCTTGCTCCCTCTTTAATCTAAATCCTTCTCCCTTTTATTCCTGTCTCCTTGTTCTCCTCCTCAATCTGTATCAGCTCTCAGGAATGTCTGAAATAGTTTCACCTCATTGAAACTATGTGCCGTTATTGTGTGTGTGTGTGTGTGTGTGTGCGTGTGTGCGTGTGCGCGCGCGTGTGTGTGTGTGTGTGTGTGTGTGTGTGTGTGTGTGTGTGTGTGTGTGTGTGTGTGTGTGCGCGTGTGCGTGTTGTGTGGCAGTTTGAGTTTAGACCTTTGAGGTGTCTGGTCCTCACTGTGGCTCAGACTGTATGATGTGGTTTTTACTGTATGTTCCCACATCATCAGTAATGCAAACATGCACAGGGCTGAAGGATGAGCTTGGTAGCAAATTTCAATTTTTAATTAAATAGTTCTTTAATTTTTGTTACCTTTGCTGTTTACAATATTAAAACAATGTGTGCGCCTGTGTGTAAGTTATGTAATATTAAATCTTCATGACATAACCCTTTGAAATTCATTCAGAGCTTAGCTTCATCTGCCGGCCTGTTTGTGTCCAGATGTGCTGTCTATTTCCAGCTGTGGTTCACTGTTAAAGGAGTCCCAAAATTAACATGAGAATAGATATGTAGCCCGTATTAATCCTTATAGTTCAACTATTCCTCTCATTTTCCATCTGTGTTTTTAATTATGAAAGTTAAATAAAAGATTATTTATAATATCCTGGATCATTCTGACATCAAAAAGAAGTCATGTTGTACGGAGGTTTGAGAAAATGTAAACACTTTTCTAATGAATTTCTGGTCTCAGTTGCTAATTTCAAGCCTCACTGAAAAGAAACAACATTGAGTTGTAAATTATAATTTCATTTAAAGTCAAAGGGACAAATAAATACATTTTCACCATGAGCGTGCAGCATCCCTGGGTTTTTCAGTCACATGTGACCCCTTGTTTGGCTTCAGCATCCAAAGATGGTAGCAGATAGCAGAATCAGTCAGCAGCAAGAGGGCCTCATTAACCCTTTGTATCATATTTGATAGATGAGTTTCTGAGACCTCTATCGCATCAACATGATCAGTACTTGCCATAATTTCAAAATGTTATCGACCAAACTCTTTTTTTTGGTCTAAAATTAACATTTTTTGCTAATAAAAAGTTGCCAAAAACGGCCAATGTATCAAATGTCAAATCATAAACATGATATAGCAAAAAAAAAAAAAAAGTGAATTTTGTTATAAGGGTTAATAATCATCCCAGTTCCAAAAAATCTGAATTTTCTGGCTATTTCTTGATGGGTTGGGTTTTACAGGGTTAACCAATGGGTGACATCACTGTGGCCAGATCCATCTTTGGCTGGAAACAACCACCAAATAGCCAAAAGGACCAAAAATGATACATAGTGATGAGCATTACGTGTCCTTATTTAAAAACTGACCCGTTGTTATACATGCTGACTTCTTTCCTGTCCCATTCCAGTCACACTATGAACAGCAAAGCTCCCATTCCGCATGATTCCCAGAGGAATGCCGTGACTCAAAGGATTTCTGAAAAAACGTCAGCCTGTGCTCCCGAGGCGGTCGTGTGTCGAGTGTGAATGCGTCTGTTCGTGCTTTAGCATTCGGAATAGGAGATGTTAAACTTTCTATTAATAGCAGCTTTAATCCATAATTCAGCAGAATTATGAGCTGGGCTGTGTGTGTTTGACAAACTGGAGCGCAGGTGACTTCAGGCTTATTGGACTATGAAATTGGACAGACACACACATTTGTCTTTCAACACTTGTGAGGACTTCCTGTACATGATGCATTAACGCGCTTCTTACCCTGAACCTGGACTCTCACCTGTGCTCTAGCAGTCTTCTGAAGCTCTCCCAAGGTGAGCTACAGACTCAACGTCCTCGCAACGAGAAACATCCTCATGTATTTAACCATTCACCCGTAAAAGTCCCACAGCATAAAACTCCAAATATTAATACTCAGACATCATCTGCTTATTGCGCTGCTGACAGCATAACTCTGACTTTCTAAACACATAGAATTCAGTTATGTCGTGCTGCAGTGACGCGTGCTGGTATTACTTGGTTACATGTGGTCATATTTGAGTATTTATATTAAATTAGAGGCTATAGTCTGTATATAAATG